ACATAGATAGGTATTTGTGAATGTGGGTCACTTAGTAAATGTATATGTTGTGATCATTGTAAAATTTATGTGTGTGTACTATCTATGCGATATGGAGATCTATTTTTCCTCACCTTGATAATGATATAAACGGTATCGCGCGATGAAACCTTAGATGTGACATTCTGAGTGTATTGTGATATTTTGAGTATGAGTGTGATTTGAAAGAAGAATAAGAATTAGGTTAAAAGAGTGAGGATTAAAATGCGTTTCGTGTGATGATTTATTTTGTTGTGTATTTTAATCGAGATACTCTGTTTAATATTTTCTTAATTATAAATATTATTATATTTTATATATTGTGTGAATGTATGTACACAAGTCTCCATTATAAAATCAATTTTCTTACTGAACTCGTAAAACTCACCCCAATTAACTCTCATCCAGGTCAGAATAAGTCAAAAATCAAAGGAATATGACAAAAAAAACTTTATTAATTTTTATTGACCTCGTAGAGTCAAATTACAGCAATCAAGCTCTTAGGAAAAAATATTTAATTTCTTTTAAGATAAGAAAGTAGTTCCTAAAGGGGGAGGGGGGGAGAGGAAATCTCCCAACTGAGAGAAAATTTTTCAGAGTAAGAAACACTTTTCCATTGGGAGCCAATGTCCCGACTAGGAGACAAATTCCCATCCAAGTGGAAACCCAGGGAATCTCACTCATGCTACCACAAAGGTCACCATATCATTGCTGATGGAGAAAGTCGATGTCCATAGTTGCACTGTTAGGTAGTGTTCGTAGATAACTCATGGACCCCCGGTGAGTGTATGCATGAAATCATTGGGGTCAATAAATTTTGCTTAGTCATTGTTCATTATACCAATGAGTTGGATGGTTCCTGTTCGTCTCCAAAGATTCTGGAGGCAGCCAAGTAAGGTGCAATAGCTAATGGCTTTGCTCAAGAATCATATAATCACACGGTTCTTCATGGATTGAGAAATGTAGTTATGAACTCTGTCAGAGAATGACATTGTAGGAAGACCATTTTCCAAATTGATGATCACGTCCTCATCCTTAATCTCAAGATCTTTTATTTTCTTCTCAGAATACTTAGTGTTTGTAAGTTTGTTTCGAAATGAGAGTCTTTCATGACTCCAAGTACCATTGTCCTTCGTTCCGTCTCTTTCTGCTTCCACACAATCCTCTTCTTCGGTAATAACAATCTCCATGTCTTTCGCCTCATCAATTTCTTCATCACCTGCAGATTATGCCTCTTCATCGCCATTCGTTCCTAAACTAGAGGCTTCCTTCCTTATCTTTACATTTTTAGTTGATCGTGTTAATATTAAGTTAGTTAATTGTTGAAGATATTTTATTTTTACATATTTTTATGGTTAATGCTTTGATGGTTCCTAAGTTTTAGCATTTCAGTTTATGTTAGTGGGAATATTTACTTCATATTTTATAGAAATTATGAGTTAGTTATTTACTGATTGTTATGTTTATTTATAGGCTAATTTGCTATCATTTTAGGTAAACTTTTAGGTTTACTTTCTGTCTTCTTATTCTATCAATCTTATTTCTGCAATCTATTAAATTTGAGACAATAGTGATATTAGAGCCATAAGTTTTTGGTTCGTACAAGAAAAACAGTAGCTTTTCTTTTGCTAAAATTATTATTGTCAATGGCATCTGATAATTTTGTACAACCTATAATTTCTCACTTCGATGGTCGCTATAATTATTGGAGCATGTTGATAAAAAATGTCCTCATATCTTAAAAGTACTAGCAAGTCATTTCGGAAGAGGTTCCAGAACCAGCAACTGGAACAGCTGTATCTAATATGCAGAAAGCAGAAATTGAGGGATTGAAGTTGAAGAAGCTCAAGGTAAAGAATTACTTATTCTAGTATATTGATCGTTCGATCTTGGAGACCATCTTATGTAAAGATACCTCCAAGCAAATCTAGGATTCAGTAAAAAAAAAATTATAGCGGGGAGGTTTCCTAAATAAGAGCAACATTTCCTAAATAAGAAAAATTCTTTAAGTAGAAAAAAAATCATTCGAGAGGAAAAATTTTCAATATGAAGAAATTCTCAAATGAGAGAACCTCCAAATAAATATATTTCACCTAACAAATTCTAAACTTGATAGGAGCCAAATGATGATTTAATTTTTCTTAGAATTCTCTTTGCATTTCTCTATGAAAACAAATACCTTCATTGTTCTAAAATTCTTTTCCAACTTCATTTAGAGACTCCAGTAGTGGTTCTGAATCTTAGAAAAACAAATAACTGGATCCTTAAAAAATAAATTGTCATTCTAAGAATTGAAATCAAACAACATCTAATTAGAATTCTCGTTTCTAAGAGTTCTAGTACTCGTAGGAAAATTTCATAGGTGAGGGGTATGGTTGTAGGAGTTGTCCTCACATCAAGCTATTAAAAAAAAAATTTATATGTTTCTCATCAAAGTAGTGCAACAGAAGCATGATGAACCACCATCACCACTTGATTGGAACCTAAGTTCCTAAATAACCGTGCTTATAAAATTAAATTCCGAAGAAAAAATAAATAAAATTTCTAAAGAAGTGTTTTGATTACAGAATCATTACAACGATAAATTTTTTAAAAAAAATAAGCTCCCTTACAATGAGGAACAATATAAAGATAATTGGGTACAAAAACATCCTTAAACCTACAGACTTTCACTAGTAAGAAATTGAAAAAAAAAACATCAGAAGATAAAACGATTTTGTTAAAGAATATGTCATAATCACTCTAATCTATTGACGAGAATATCAATAAAATACATGGATGGTTATTTCGAGTTCTCGCAAATAAAAATTTGAAAGATCAAATTTCTTAGGAGGAGAGGAGATTCCCACACGAGAAATTTCTCCAAGTGACAGAAATTCCCAACAGAAATAGACATTCTCTAGTAAGAGAAAAATCTCCCCTAATAGAACATTTTTCCAAGTAAAGAGATGAGTGATTCCAATCTCTTGACGTGTAATTTGGAGGACCAAATTATTTTAAGGGTGGAGAGATTTGTAATACCCAGCTGGTGCACCAACTGAGTACAAAAAAATATATATATAATATTAATTAATTAAAAAAAGAAGAATATAGAGAGAAGGAGAACAAACCAAGCGACAAAAAAAATATATGTATATATATATATATATATATAATGAAATAGCAGAAGATAAAAAAAAAAAGAAAGAGAGGAAGAGAGATGAGTTCAAGCGGGTGAGAGAGGAGGCCGAACTGAGTGAGGATCGAGGCTGAGAGAGCGGAGTGAGGGGAGGAGCCTTGGCCACGTGAGGAGGAGGAGTGAGCGTCAGTTGTGAAGGTGGGATGCGGCGAAAAGGGAGACGTCGCGGGAAGAAAAAGAAGAAGAAAAGGAAAAGAAAGAAGAAGAAAAAAAAAAAGAGAAGAGGAAAGGAAAAAAAAGGGGAAGAGAAGAAGGAGAAGAAGACAGAGAATACTCATGGTTGGGTAGAGAGAGAAAGAGGAGAGAGAGAAAAAAAAAAAAAGAAGAAGAAGAAAGGAAAAAGAAAGAAGAAAGAAAAAAAAAAAAAGAGGAGTTGCAGGAAAGGAGGAAGAAGAAGAAAAAAAAAGGAAGCTACGGGAAAAGATGAAGAAAAAGGAAGAAGGAAAAAGGAAGAAGAAAAGAGATAAAAAAGAAAAAGAAAAAAAAGAGAAAAGAAAGAGAAGAAAAATAAATTAATTAATGAAGAAAAATAAAAGGGTGGCGACCAAATATGATGTTGGTGCACCACATATGACGACGCGCACTGATTCGATCATCAGTGCCTGACATTTTCGGTAACACGCGTATGATGGCGCGTGGTGATGTTGGTGACCGGGACTGCGTATTCTAAGGTAAAATTCATTCCTAATTTCGCGTAATATAATTTTAAAATTATTCATAATTTAATATATATGTTTTTATTATAAACGAGAAAAATTATCCAAACGGTATTCAAATTTTCGAGATGACCATAGATCAAGTTAAAAAGAATTTTCAAAGCTTTCTTGATCACATTATAGGTAAGAATTATGTATATTCCGTATGGGTAAGAATTATGTGTATTCCGTATGGAGACATAAATTATATGTTTATGTAAATGTGTATATATATAGTGCATTATGTGTGAATGTTTAAATATATGTGTAATGTAATATATGTAATTAGTATGTCTACTTTATATTTGTTTGTGTTTATGTAATGTATATATATATACATTTTTATGCATGTGTGTGTGTATATATAAAAATACATGATAAATGAGATATGAATTGATAAGAATAGAATTGATAAGAACAGAGCTGATAAGAATAAATACATAAATATGTATATATATGTGGTATGTTGTGTATGATTGTGTATATGTATTTAAGTATGAACGTGTATGTATATATCGGTAGAGATTGTGTGTGTTAATATAAATATATATTTTGTGTGAGACATGTAGTGATAGAACATGTCTGTATTATAATATGTGTGTGTGTATTGAAATATGTATACATATGTTCTGCATGTGAAATACATAACCAATATGTGTACGTGTAAAATTTGGATACACTGCACTTGCTGTGTGATCTGGTGCACATATACGACGCACTGTACATGCTGTGTGATCTAATACAGTTACGCGATGAATCTGAGTATCCTGTACTTGTTGTATGACCTGGTACATGATGACTCAGAAAGTGGTTTGAAAAATATATGGTTCTGATGTGCGTGATGGTATCGTGTATTATCTGTGTGTTTGTGTTTTATTATGCGTTGAATTGATATTTTAATATGAAATGAATGAATTAGGAATAAGAGACATTTGAAAAGAGTAGAGTGTAAAGACTCTAGATACCTACTCGTTTTAGTCTGAATTAAGAAGGGAATGGTGCATGTGTGGTTAAAGTTCAGCGGGCATGGTGAACTTGCACATGGATAGAATTTGAAGCCTACTCCACACGTGTATAGGTATTTGTGAGTGTAAGTCACCTAGCAAACGTATCTGTCGTGACCATTATGAAACTTATATGTATGTGCTATCTATGCGATGGA